CTCTTTTAATTTTTCTTTCGTAATTTTCGTTCGTTCAAAAAAAAAAAAATCAAAATTAGTCCGGGAAGTCCAGAACGTAGGCAAGCCAGAAAAGATATGGCCAATCGAGAGTTGAAGGAAAAGGTTGAAGGCTTAGAAGGCCAATTCAAGGCCATAAGCGATAGCATGGAGGATCAGTTTGGATCGCTCGACGAGGGCCAGATCAGCACCAATGCTGCCGTGGCTCACCTCGAGCAGCGCCTAGAGGAGGTGTTGCGCGGGTTTCAGCGACAGCAGCAGCAGGAGCCACCACGGGTGAACGCACGCGAGCGTCTAAGGCAACAGGAGCAGCAGCGGGCTGAGCAAAACCTCGAGGAGGAGGAAGAATACGAACAGCGGTCGCAGGCGTCGAACGTACAGGAGCAAGCCCGCATCGAGAAGCCAAGGATCGTGCTCTCGACGTTCACGGGAACCAACCCCGACGCTTGGCTGAATAGGGCAGTGCAATTCTTCGACTTAAATGAGATGCCGCAACGTGACTGGGTTCGATATGCCGCGTACTATTTAGATGGTGAGGCCAACATGTGGTGGCAGTGGCTCACGCGCGTGTATCACGGGCGGCAACCACCAATCCGTTGGGAATATTTTGAATGCGAGCTCCTTACGCGTTTTGGGAACTCAGATTATCATAACCACGACGAGGCGCTGACTCGGATCCGGTAGACGGGGAGTGTACATGACTACCAAAAGAAGTTCGAGAGATTGGCGTGTCGGGTTCGCGGGTGGCCAGAGAGCGCGCTTGTTGGCGCGTTTGTTGGAGGCCTTAGGTATGATCTCGCGGCCGAAGTGCGATTTGAGAGGCCGGAGACCATGCACAAGGCCATGGAGGTTGCTAGGAGATGGGAGGATCACTTGGTCGTGACTTGAAGGGGACGGGCGGATTTTCGTATCCCAGAGCCGCGACGTGTGCCCGCGACCGTGGGCGCACCTAGTGCGAACGCGAGGCCGTCGGGCACCTTTGGGCCACCGGCAACCGAGGTGAAGAGGTTGACGGAGGAGGAGATGGCGCGGAGACGTGAGAAGGGGCTGTGTTTTCGGTGCGAGGAAATGTACATGCCGGGACATCGGTGCAAACAGAATTTCTTGATCGAGTTCATGGACTCGGATGAAGAGGAGCCGGTGATCGAGGAAGAACGGGAGGTGGAGGTCGAGGTGCTCAATGATGAGGCCGAGATCTCAGTCCATGCGATGGCGGGCACTAAAGGGCCGAGAACTATGAAGTTACCGGCGTGGCTGAAATATCGACGGGTTACAGTACTCGTGGACAATGGGTCATCGCACAATTTCATTAATGCGACTCTTTCTCACAAACTCAAGTTGCCCACGTCCACGATTGAGCCGTTCGAGGTTAGGGTGGCGAATGGCGAGCGCTTGCGGTGCTCGGAGATGTACCGACGAGTACCAATCAAATTTCAGGGAGTAACGGTGAAGGCGGACCTGTCTGCTTTACCATTGGTAGGGCTGGATGTGGTGCTTGGGGTGCAATGGCTCAACGGACTCGGAGATGTGACGACCAACTACCGGGAGGGCGTGATGAAGTTCGAGACCGATGATAGGCTCGTCACCTTGAAAGCAAACGAAGGATCGACCAAGGAGGTTGGTCTAAAAAGCATCGAGAAGGTGTGGCGAGGTGGCGGGCAGTTGTACGCTGTCGTGGTCGAGCACACGGGCGAGGAGTT